AGAGCTTTCACTGATTCCTGCAATCAAAAGGACTAATAAAATAGGTAGAAATGTGGAGTGACAATAGAGTTTCTCACAAGTTTGATCCAAGATGCAGATACCATAATGAATTGGAGTATCCCAGAATACTCACTTTCTTGAAAGGAAAAGAAATGTTTTATCATATAAAATATAACACAAGAAGGTATGTAGAACCTAACTTTCACTTCTTTATAAAACTTATTCCATAGCTATTCCTGGAAGAAAAAGAAAACGAAAAATTTCAACTGCTCACAAGTACATTCCCCGTCAAACCAAGTAGTCAGTCTTATACAGAAGATGTAGTTACAAATTCAGCAGTTTCTTTATTTATTTATTAATTCTACCAAGCAGGGATTGAGCTGTTGATACTTGGAAAGTTGGAAGTCAGGTTCAAAACTCTCATATATAATATAGCACAAGTTGTACAGAACATAACCTTACTTTATAATATAACCATTCCTGGAAGGAAAAAACAAACAAAAAGCAACTCCTCCCAATTTCACTTCGGTCAAACAAAGCAATCTTTTATTTTTTATTTTTTAGAGAAGGACCAAGCAATCAGTTTTATCCAGAAGATGAGTTACGATTTTACTTATTTATTTCTTAATTTATTATACCAAGCAGGAATTGGGCTGTTCGTACTTGCATATTCATCACTAAGAACTAGATTGTTAGTTAAAGTTACAAATAAAGTATTTAAAGAAAGGCCAAATACATAAGCAGGCACCTAAACTTGGCACTGCTTTTAACTTAGGCACTTAAAGTTAGGCCCATTCCTATTGGACACTTAAAGTATATTCAACATGTGTCTACTGAACACCTCATTGACCATCACTAGGAAAAACAAAGTGAGTGTAATCCACTCGCGAATGACATGGAAAATCAACGAATGAAATGAAGACACGTCTTATTTTGACCCAAAATAATTATTAAATAATTGTTTTGAGAAAAAAAAATATTTTCACTGAAATTTCCCTCCCAGCAGCAAACCCCCGTTGCATCCCAATTCTTCTTCCTTCACTATCGTTGTCAGACCACCAAAACCCCCACAGAGAATCACCACCACCACCATTTCACATACCCACCAGAAACAAAAATCTTCAATCAGTTATAACCTTAGCACATTATCTCTCATTGATTTCAATAGACAAGTTTAAAAACCCGCTATAAAAGGCTTTTACAATCAGAGAAGAACCAGCAGTAGTGAGCGAGCAGCAAAAAAAAATTCCGACTAACAGCGACCTCCGGTAAACCTCGATCTTGGCTGGAAATTTATTCTCCGACGATCCTGTAATGCCACCTCCGACAATCTCTCTCCTTTTCTTCCTTCCTTATTTCCTCATTTCGGAAACACCTTAAAAATTACACACTCCTTCAAAAATCAAATCAGATAATCATCGAGTTTGATAGAAAAATCTCGCCGGTGATTCCAGTTGATAATGAAAGCTTTGACAGCACCACGACCAAGAAAATTGGAGAGTAAGCTGAAGGAAATTCTTAAAGAGTGATTCTTTGCACTTGTTCACCTGGATATTCTGTAAAAAATGGAATTGGAGATTTTAAGAAGTGGCCGTGGTGGATTTTTGATGAAGAATAGCTAAAAATTAAAATTTTAACTAAAATTTTCTTTAGCTCTTCACGCGCGCAAGAGAAGTATTGTTCACACAATATGACATGTGTTAATCTGTGTTAAATAAACACGCTTGGGAGGTAGTTCGAGTACCTAAAAGGAACGGGCCTAACTTTAAGTGCCTAAGTGAAAAACGGTGTCAAGTTTAGGTGCATGCTTATGTATTTGGCCTTAAAAACCGAGGTAACTACAAATTAAGCGGAACCCCAAGGATCAAAACTAATAGCTATTTAAATGAAAGTAGTGATAAACTTCAATGATCTGCCTGAATAAACTGAACTTAAGAGGAGGAATCGGGTTAGAGATTTGCACCATTGTAAACTAAACTGAAACACGTGGATAGTGTAAAACAGGAACATGGAGTAGTGGATTACATTCCTTGCAAAAAAAAAGTTTTAAAGCTCACCGATTCCAACTCTGGATCATTCTCTTCTCGGGCAAGCTTTATCATGTCAATATGTTCAACCAACTCTTGTTCAATTGCCATAACATCCTCCATTTTATTCATTAAAGAACCATGTTCACGGCTGATTTTCCCGGCATAGACAGGGTCATCCCAAAGATCTGCCTTATTGATTTGAGCTGACAGCACTTCAAGCCTATCCATTAGCCTTTTCCACTATAAATGGGAGAAGACAAAAAAAAGACTTAAAACTCATTATTAGAAATAAAAGATTCTCAAACGGAGCCATGTAATATATTATTTCCGAGAAATTATAATCTAAATCTAAAGATAAAGTAACACACTCCTAAACATTCCCAAGTACAACAAGAGTTTCTTGTCAGACTAGTTATGCTGGTTATCAGTTACTATTAATACATTTAGAGTAACAAGATCATTCATTTACATACTTCTCATATCCTGCCATAATTTTGAAGCTACTATATAACAATTAACAATTTCAATGTCATGAGGATTCATGAAGGTTATTATTTTTGGGGTCAATTTAGTGTAACACTCATTTATCCGGGCTTGAGAGCAACTATACCAAGCTCATATCAGTGCAGATATTATTATCGTGGTAGCGTTCTCTCCGTGTCCATCACCTACTTCAACCCCACCCCCCCACCCCCCACCCCCAAAAAAAAAAAAAAACCCCACCCTACTGGGGAAGTATGCCATTATCAGATACGAAATGTAGAATCGCATATTTCACAACTTTTTCAAAAAGATAACAAACTTATTTTTCTCTTTGGATAAGCACAAAAATCACAACTTTGTCATAAATACCACAAGTTTTTCTCTTCTTTTTTTTTAATATTTTAACATACGCATAGAGATCACACTTTTTAGTAGTGTGATCCATCTAAATTAAGTAAAGCCCAAAACAGAAAAAAAAACAGCTACTTCAAAATACAACAAGAGATAGATAAGGAAACCTTGAGGCGTTTCTTGATAAGATGAATGGACTGAGCAATGGAAGAAGCATGGCTCTTCCAATCATTTTCACTCTCATCAACTATATTCCAATTTTTAGCTATAATTCCCTCAACACTTAGCCCATCTGTAGTAGTAGGCTCAACAGCAGCCTCGGAGCTCAAAAACCGAACACCACATATAGAATCAAATGGGGGTTTTGGACTTCCATTCAAAATTGAAGAGAACCCTTTATTTCTTCTGTTAGAATTGTACCAAGAATAAAAAATTGAGAAGTTATTATTGGAAGTGGAATTATTAGAAGAAAGGGAAGAAAAAGGGCAAGAAAATATGCGTGTAGGGATTCGAGAGAGCTGCTTTGATCTTTTTCCTAATGTTTTCAATAGTAAAAATGACATTTTTTTTCTCTTTCTGTAATCGATTTGACGAACCAGAGGTTTAGGCGAGGGTTTAAGTGATTCAGATTTCAAAAGACGAAACTATATGACGTCGTTCTCTTTAAAAAAGAAAGTTTTTTTAGGCCCATCCATAGATGGAGTAAGCTAAATACAACAGCATTTCTATTCGATTGTATTCACGGCGTTAAACATGGGATTATAGCGGGACAGATTGTTATATTCGATTGTATTCACGCGTGAAACAGGGGATTACATTGTTTTTAAACTGAAAGTGAATCAATTAACATAATAGACTCCTAATATAACTCAACAAACTCAATTATAACACACAAATTTTGTATTTCCAGTTATAAAAAAGATTCTCAACCGAAAAACACCCCCAAAAACATAGCAATCTTCAGAGAAATTATATAATACATCTGAATACATAAATTATATTAATTAAAAAATATATATGAATACATTCATGGAATATAGCGAGACAGTGAATACAATGAAATATATAGAATACAGCGGGATACACTGAAATACAATGAAAAAACAGACAATGAATATAATGAAATACATATAATACAGCGAGATACGTTGAAATACAATGAAAAAACAGACAATGAATATAATGAAATACATATAATACAGCGAGATACGTTGAAATACAATGAAAAAAAAGACAGTGGATACAATGAAATACATTGAAATATATTAACAGAAAATTCAAGTTGCCCAGCTCCCAACTTTGTCGTCTTTGTCCACTGCGGCGAATCTGTGGCGGCCTAAGAGGAGAATTGGTTCGAAAGCTTTGTAACGGAGGATTTCAGGCTGGACTAACTCGAGGGGAACGCCGTTGATTTTGATGAGGCCTTTCCATTCCTAGGGCTTGATTTCCATGGTCGTTGCTTTGATTTCGATGGTCGTTCCTTTGATTTCGAACCTCCATCTGAAAGAATGAGAGACCTAAACAATACACTCCATAGGGATAAAGAACCATGATTATACAAACAAGCCCTTGAATGACTTGGGAGTGAAGGGATAAATATAGACTCGAGAAGCAAGTGAACAAGAAGGTTAGTGCAATTAATTAAGAGTATTTTATAGCTTAAGGGTAGGAGGTAACCTTAAATAGATATTTGGCTATAAAAATCAAAAGATAGCTATGGAATATAATTTTTTAAAAAGATATTTATTTAAAATAAATAAGGTATCAACCTTTGCTATAGGAGGTAAAAATTCCTTAAAAGTTTTAGTTTGATATATTTGGCCAACTGTAAAATAAACCTTACTAAAGTACTTTTACATTATAAACTTTGCACTAAAAGTAATTTGAGGAAGATTTGCAATTTTATTGTAAGTCAATTATCCTCTATTATCAGATTTGATCTACCTGCTACTAGATCCTATCAAAGCAATGCTTAATACTATCTCAAATTATATTTCTACTCGCCATAAACGAGGCTTAAGTCTTTAAAATTTGATATGCTATAGATGTCGTTAGGAAGAGACATAAGAGAAAAACTAAGTGGGTGCTCATTGATGATAATAGAACCGTTAAGTAGAAAAACTTAAGACTAGATAATAGTGGTATCAAAATGAAACATTTTTGAAGTTGTGCAGTCAACAATTACTAGCTTTGGTGTAAGTAGCTCCTTCATATTGGCATTTCCCCAATCTTTGGTACCACTTTTAGACCATCTCTGAGCATTGTTGCATCAACAAGAGTGAGTTCCATCAACATGAACATAGATTTCAAGCATCATACAGAAAAATAAAGCAAGTAAAGCTTTGTTTGATCAAACTTTTCTACCATAGTGGATGGCGACACTTTCTAATATGCTTCTACCACATGCTCTCAGGACCTTCACAACAATAGCTATAGGGAATGCCGTGAGTCAGATGTGTTCTGATTGAAGCGTCTTCACTTCAAGATTCCTTGTCAAATGCCTACAGCCAAAACTGAATAGCATCTCTTCAACTGGAATTATTGCCTAAAATACAACAGCCTGTCTGCCTGCCTAGTTAAGAATTACATTCTGCCCTCCAACTAGCTCCAACAAGACAAAAGAATTGACATGTACAATAAAGAACCTATGATCTCTTGAGTACAAATTCGGAAAAATGCCTCATAATGCAGGTCTTGCTACCACAAAAGGTAGAAGTATATGATAAATAGATAATTAGACACCAGAAGGATTAATATAAAAGTGTCATATGGCTGCAGAAAACCGTGTCCTGCTCATTGGAATGCCGATTATTTGGCTGAATGTTACTGAAGTGCCATTTTACTGCTTCACCATAAATGAACTTTTACAACTGCACCCACCCACTGCACTAGGATTGGTAGACACCTGCAGAAAATAAGACATGCACAAAAGCGGTTAAATGAAAACCCGATAGTAACAGAAAATGAAATGGTCCTAGTGCCAGCTAAAAGATATAGTATCAAACTTTAACGGATGAAAATTCTTGGAGCAATGTGAACATTAGGATAATGGTATAAATTCGTGTAATACACTACCACACCCTCGTATGGAATCTTCTAAGACCATGTGATTTTTATTTCCCTATAGCTCAGATAACACCAGAAAACTTGCAGGCTTGCAACTTTTCAACTGTTTTCCTCCAAAATAACATCCAAGCACTAACACCATATTCCCCTTTAGAAGGTATTACCAAAAGTTCAATCAAGGGGGTCTGACACAATGGTAAATCATATGGTCCGATTCATTTACCTGTGTTTTGCAAAAATATAGATTTTTGTTTATTCATAAATATTTTAGCACAAGTCCATTATTTCTAGCATCCATCTACTTATCATAGTTGCGCCTTTCAAATACAGTATTTTTTTACAACATAATGTATTATTCTTTTCTGCTTCTGATACATTTTCAGTTGATGGGCACTACCGCACTAGAGAGAACATGGGGATTGTCTAGAGGAAGCAACCATAGTTTCAATACAGTATGTAGTGCAAGATAACCTTTTGAAGTATCAACTGACTTCCTTGTTCCATACATGACAAGATAGAAGACACAAAAATCTGCTCAAGTCTAAAGTGATCTTTTCCATACTCCAAAAGCAGTTAAATTTTGAAACAAAAAATCATGCATTTTCAAAATAAGAATTCTGGTCTATATGAGTTAGACACCTTTAGTTTCTAGATAAACTACTTGAAGGTAAAACTTCTATTTTCTAACCCATGCTAATAAATTGGTCGGTGGTACAATCATATCTGAGAATGGCAAGTGTTTTTGGGCTTAAACTAATGACCTGTCCTAGTTCTTGCTTCATTGACAAACAATAATTGAAAAAGAGGATAGCAACATCTATCATGCTATTGATCTAGAACACCAATATGCATGTGTATGTGACATGCAATAAAATACCAATAATGAAGGCCATGGAAGCTACATTTACAGACCTGAAAAGCAGAGCGAATCAGCTCCTCAACATAATCAACAGTTGCACCTTTGACGAAATCATATGATACATTATCCACGACCAATTTAACTCCGTCGCGCTCAAAAATTCTATGAAGAATAAGAAACGAATAAGATGGCAACATAAACAACATACTGACAAATCTTAATACTAGTAACATATGATACTAAAGTGCATTTTAAGTGGCTTTGCAGGGTGGGAAGGCGGGGAGTAGGATGCCGAATTCATACTGCAAAATATGTCAGATTTATTATGACCACCTAGAACATGATTCAGCAATCAATCAATTGTACTCGATAACTAGTTTTAAGACAATTAAGCTAAGACAAATAGGGCCCTCTAAAACTAATGCAAGGATAATATAATACTCGAAAATTGAATAGGCTGACAAATAGTAGAAAACGTCAGCAAACCTGTCATCAGAATTGGTCTTATCATCTAGAGAGAATTCATATTGAAACCCTGAACAACCACCAGCTTCAACACTCAAACGAAGCATCTTCTCTTTATGTTCGCCAGCTTGCAACTCTTTCATCCTCTGCTCAGACATGTAAAAGAACCAAATCAGTGAATTGTCTCAACTTAATTTTACAAGCAATTCAGACACCTAAATCTCTACAGACATCAAACCTTATAAAACAGTATAAAATCTTGAATCTTGTCGTCTAACTGATTATGCTATCACATAGTGATATGTATCACTATTTCCAGAACCGAAAAAAAAAATCCCCTTTTCCAGTAAACCCTTTCAGAAATGGAGGTTGGAGCTATTCACTTGGAAATTAACAACCTTCCACAAAGCAACTAAACAAGTTTTGATTTTTTAGCTGATTAAACAAAAAGGGATCAAGTCTCGTGATGCCTTCAAAAGAGAAAGCATAAAAAACTTGAATTTATGTCAAAAATTCACATAAGAAAATATTTATAGTGACAGAAAATATATCCCAAATAAAATCAATCATAACAGACATTTTTAGGATTAAAAAAAAAGGAAAAGTTTCGGATGGAAAGATATAAACTTACACGAACGCAGCTTTCGGTCATTAAAACAGAATCGGGAGCATCGGGTTGGGATTGGGATTGGGATTGGGATTCGGGTTGGGATAGAGCAGAAGAAGCAGAAGAATTCAAAAGGCGGTAATTTTGGTGAATCCGAGTGGTGAAAAACGGAACAATTCGACGAATCAGAGAACTTGACGACAATGCCATAGCCTACAACTTTTTCATCTACAGAAGAATACGGGATTGTCAAACTCTTCGATGGTTGTGGAAGAAAATTATATGGGATTCGTGGACGAATTGAAGATGACAAGTTGTGTTGGAAGCTTTCTTTCTTGTACCCGACTCAATTGAATGAAATGTATCTGGAGCTCCGCTTACGACTTGTGCCCGGCACCTACTTCAATAAATTGCACTTACTAATATTGCTTGTTGCGGCGTGATTATTGAATGTTTCTAATTTTATGCTGTTTCAACTACTTTAATCACGTAATATTTATTTAATAAGTTCTACTCACAATTATGTTTTAACTATCTTTTAATAGAAAGTCAATATAAAATATAACAACAATTAGTGAAACATGACAAGAAATCAATTATAGAAAGTTGATAAATAGTTTTAAAAATCACGGATATCCAAGTAATATTATAAAACAATAAAAGAACAAGAAAAGTATTACAGAGAAAAATAGAGACAGAGAATTCTTATTGATATGGAATAAAATTACAATGGAATAGAACCCTAGAATCTCTATTTTTCACCGTAAATAGTCACTTTAGGAAAAAAGTGACTTAGCCACAAAGTAACAAACCATAGAATCTCTCTAAATATAGACATTCACCTTAAATACAATTCTATTTATAACACTCCCCCTTGAATGTCTATTCAACAGATAATGTGACTCGTTAAAATCTTAACTAAAATAAAACCCAGTTACAAAAAATTCTAGACAAGGAAAAAAAGTACACATGTTTAGAAATACGCCTTTTGGTTGCATCGTTAAAAATCTTGCAATGAAAACCCAGTGGGACAAAACCTTGTAAGAAAAAAAGAGTACAACGTGTATTAACTCCCCCTAATGAGAGCATCAATTCACATCCTTGAGCATTCGCATCCCAATCTTGTACACTAGCTTTTTGAAGGTTGACGTCGGTAGAGATTTGATGAACAAATCAGCCATATTATCACTTGAACGAATCTTTGCACATTGATATCACCATTCTTTTGAAGATCATGTGTGAAAAATAACTTTCGTGAAATGTGCTTTGTCCTATCTCCTTTTATAAATCCTCCATTCAATTGGGCTATACATGTTGCATTGTCTTCATACAAAATCAGGGGTAGTTTATCACACTTTAAACCATATTTTTCTCGATTAAGATGTATTATAGACCTCAATCACACACATTCTCGACTTGCTTCATGAATAGCAATTATCTCAGCACGATTAGATGAAGTAGCCATGATTGATTGCTTAATCGATCGCCAAGATATGGCAGTGCCTCCACATGTAAACACGTAGCCTGTTTTGAGATCGAGCCTTGTGTGTGTCGGATAAATACCCAGCATCGACATAACCAATAAGATCGGGACTGCAATCGTTGCCATAAAATAAGACCATATCGGTAGTCACTTTTAGATAACACAATATGTGATATTCCATTCCAATGTCTTCTTGTAGAAGCAGAGCTATATCTTGCTAAAACATTAACTGAAAAAGTTATGTCATGCCTTGTAGTATTAGCAAGATACATTAGTGCACCAATTATACTAAGATATGGTACTTCAGGACCAAGACGTTCTTCATTCTTTTCTTGAGATCGGAATGGATCCTGATTAACATCAAGTGATCGAACAACGATCGGAGCACTTAATGGATGTGCTTTATCCATGTAAAATCGTTTCAATAGCTTTTTTGTGTAGGCAGATTGATGAACAAAAATCCCGTTTGCCAAATGTTCAATTTGCAAATCGAGACATAATTTTGTCTTTCCGGTATCATTCATCTCAAATTTATTCTTTAAATAATCAATTGCCTTTTGAAGTTCTATATGAGTTCCAATAAGGTTTATGTCATCAATATATACGGCAAGTACAACAAATTTCGATGTTGTTTCTTTATAAACACACATGAACAGATGTCATCGTTTATATAACCTTCCATTAATAAATACTCACTAAGGCGTTTATACCACATTCTTTCTGATTGTTTTAAACCATACAAAGATCTTTGTAATTTGATTGAAAACATTTCCGGGAACTTTAGGCGTGCTTTTGACACATTAGATACGGCACTAGAAGATTGTCCAACAAGGGCATCAATACGGATTGAAACATTCTCTGTAGAGATATGTGATTTTGTTATCATTTTCAGATCCGTAAATGCGTCTGGCATTTGATTTGCTTTTTTCTACGAATGAATAATCTTCTATACCTCTTTTTAGGCACGTGGATAGAGATGAGATAATGATGAATTTTTCCATAAAATTTTTCCTTTGAATTCACTAATCTCTCCTCCTAATTTTGGGAAAAGTATCTCATTGAATCGATAGTCTACAAATTGAGCAGCGAACAGATCTCCCGTTAATGTTTTGAGGTAGCGAATGGAGGGCGATTCAAATCCAATATATATTCCTAACTTTATTTGGGACCCATTTTGGTGCTATATGGCGGTGCTACATGAACATATACCGCGCATCCAAAAATTCTTAAATGGGATATATTAGGTTCATGACCCAAAACTAATTGCAACAGGGAATACTTGTGATAATTTGCCTGTCTGAGACGAACTAGCATTGCTGCATGCGAAATGACATGACCCAAACAGAAGTGGGTAACCTCGTTTCATGAGTAACGGTCTTGCTATCAATTGCAGACGTTTAATCAAAGACTCTGCAAGGCCATTTTGAGTGTGAACATGAGCTAGAGAATGTTCCACTTTTATCCATGTTGATAAGCAATAATTACTAAATGCTTGGGATGAAAACTCAACAGCATTATCGAGTCTAATAGACTTAATTGGATTATTAGAAATTGTGCCCATCATCGGATTATTTGTGCCATTAATTTTGCAAACGCCAGGTTGCTAGACAATAGGCCTACACGAGACCATCTAGAAGATGCATCTATTAAGACCATAAAGTATCTAAACGACCTACTATGTGGGTGAATAGGTCCACAAATATCCTCTTGTATGCGTTCTAAAAGCGCAGGGACTCAATCCTAACATTTGTTGGTGATGGTCTAATAATTAACTTGCCTTGATGACAGAAGTGCAAGAAAATCCATTATTTAAAAGAATTTTTAAATTCTTTAATGGATGTCCATTTGAGTTTTCTACAATCCGTCTTATCATACTTGATCCATGATATCCCAATCGATCATGCCAAAGTACAAAAGTATTGGAATCAGTAACCTTTTGGTTTATGAAAGAATGTGCCTCAACTGCACTAATTCTTGTCCAATATAGGCCACAAGATAAAGATGAGAACTTCTCAATAACCCTCTTCTGTCTAGAGACATTTTTGCTAACGATGAGATATTCAATATTATTCTCATCTATTGTCTCAGTATGATATCTATTTCGGCGGATATCTTTAAAACTCAACAAGTTCCTCTTGGATTCGGAGGAGAACATTGCATTATCTATGATAAGTATTGTTTCCCTAGGCAGAGTTATAGTAGCTCTTCCAGAGCCTTCAATTAAATTACTACTACCGGAAATTGTAGTAACATTTGCCTTACATACTTAAATGAGAGAAATATCTCTTCTCTTTGAATATTGTATGTGTCGTACATGAATCAACTAAACAAATATTTTTACAATTGAAATTTGATCCAATTTTGCTTTTAGAGATATCCATATTTGCTTAGTCTTCTCAAAGAGCTTTTTGAGACGATAGAGTCTTGTGCTGATAACGTGTAATGAAACAATAAAAAAGAATATTGTTAAGAAAGAGAGAAAATTCTTATTGATTTGGGATGAATTACAATGGAATCGAACTTCTCTATTTATAGCAAAAAAAGCGACTTAGCTACAAAGTAACAAATTCTAGGATCTCTATAAATATAGACATTCACCTTAAATACAATTCTATTTATAACAAGTAAAGTAAATGTATTTTGAACTTTGAAATAAGCGTTGATGATATGTGTAACTTTAAATCAAGTACTCTCCTTGTTTCTATAACTTTTCGCTGGATCAACTAGTTAAATTCGTACAAAGTAAATCCCTAAGATTATTAATTTAAATTATATTTTTTAAACTTAAACCCAAAACTTTATTTAAAGATGTAGAGATATCAATTATGTCATCCATCCGCTAACGAGTGTTGATTTATCGTACTTTCTTTCTCGTATATGTATTTTGATCAATCGTAAATAATTGTTGTATGGGTCAGAATCCGACCCCACGATAATTAACGAGGCTAATCCCGTTTTAAGTTAATTCACGATTAATTAGTGGCACGACCACTAATAATTGACGACGTTCAACCCGCCCCTGGTTCGGTCAACAAAGGCCCTGGCCTATCCGCCACTATAAAGGCGAGATCTCCACGTGGTCACGGCCACTTATTGACAGCTCACGAAGCCCACAGCTATAAATACCAAGAGAAGGGACCCTAGAAAAGGGGGGCTTCTTCACCACTAGTGAGAGGAGAGAGAAACGAGAAAATATACCCCTCTTATGGGAAGAGAAAAACACCATTGTAAGGCTCTGAACCTCTTCATGGAGAGGCAGACCAAACAAATATTATCAATAAAGGTTTCTAATGCTTCTCCCCCCTAATTCTGAGTTCTTATTTTCGTTTCTTTCATTTGGTCCAACGGATTATTACAATTTGCTATGATTATCCCGGGATTTATTTATATTGTTTTGTACTCGTAAGATGTGTAATATTTTTTGAGCAAACAATTTGGCGCCGTCTGTGAGGATTTCATAGCAAAATCGCGTAGTTCTTCCCTGGACCAAAAGAAAAGAAGCGCCAAACTCGAAGGGGAGCTCGAAGATCTCAAATCAAGATCTACGTCCTCACTCTCTCTCCAATCTCAGATAGTGCAAACAAGAAGAAGAGGCCCCCTCCTTTCCTCAGGGGAGGCTCTGTAAGGCATACGAACTCCGGTCGGAAACCGGCACGGAGATATCTCGAGCCGAGATTCGCCTCAAGACTGCCTATATACCCTGGTTGGGAAGACAATGGGTAAGCCGCTCAAGGTCTCGAATCCCAAAACGAGTTCCAGCACTCGATACCCACAATATGGGATTCAGGCTACGTGCCTTCGCCAACGAGTTCAACTACGATTGAACCGGGACTCAGGCTACGTGCCTTCACCAAAAATTCAACTACGGTTGAATCAAGACAGGCTACGTGCCTTCGCCAAAAATTCAACTACGGTTGAATCAAGACAGGCTATGCGCCTTCACCAACAAATTTAACCACGGTTGAACCGAGACAGGCTATGCGCCTTCACCAACGAGTTCAACTACGGTTGAACCGGGATCAGGCTACGTGCCTCGCCAAAAATTCAACTACGGTTGAACCGAGACAGGCTATGCGCCTTCAACCAACGAGTTCAACCTACGGTTGAACCGGGACTCCAGGCTACGTGCTCTTGCCAAAATTCAACTATGGTTGAATCAAAGACAGGGCTATGCGCCCTTCACCAACAAATCAACCACGTTGAACCGAGACAGGCTATGCGCCTTCACCAACGAGTTCAAACTACGGTTGAACCGGGACTCAGGCTACGCGCCTTCGCCAAAAATTCTACGGTTGAATCAAGACAGGCTATGCGCCTTCACCAACGAGTTCAACTACGGTTGAACCGGGACTCAGGCTACGTGCCTTCGCCAAAAACTTCAACTACGGTTGAATCAAGACAGGCTATGCACCTTCACCAACGAGTTCAACTACGGTTGAACCGGGACTCAGGCTACGTGCCTTCGCCAAAAATTCAACTACGGTTGAATCAAGACAGGCTATGCGCCTTCGCCAAAAATTCAACTATGGTTGAACCGAGACAGGCTATGCGCCTTCACCAACGAGTTAACTACGGTTGAACCGGGACTCAGGCTACGTGCCTTCGCCAA